GCACACAGGCCCTACAGACAGCACCTATATTGCTCTGGCTTCTGGCTTCTGGCTCAGCCAGGGCAGAGGCACTAGCACCCAGGGATGGGTTCATCTTCTTGGAGGAAAGTTTCTCCTGGCACCCAGTGCTCTTGCTTACTGATCCCAGCAAATACCAAGTGACTGCGGGATGGAGGAGGGGTCATGGAGGATAGCTTTGCCTCCACACTCTGGAGGCAAGCTTCTTGGGTTCAAATTTCAACACAGTCACTTGCTAACTGTGTGGCCTTGGGCAAGTAACTTAATAGGCCTCTGGAGCCAGACTATATGGTTTGAATTCCAGTTCTGCCTCTTAGTAGCTGAATGATCTTGGGCAAGTTACTTAATGTTGCCTCAGTTTTTTGTGCCTCAGCTTCCTCCTCTATACAATGGGGACAGTAATAGTACCTCCCTCCTACGGTTGTTGAGGTTTAAATGGAATCAGGCACACAAAAGCACTCGGCACAGAGCTTTTCCTCAGTACAGGCTGCTTTTCCTCAGTACAGTACAGCCTTTGCCAAATGCTGTGTTAAGCCGAGGAAGGGAAGGGTCAAAAAAGGACGAGCCACAGGGCCCTTGTTTCTGCTTTTCTGAAGCCTTCAAGGCTGACGCTGGCCCGCTGGTCCATTCTGTTTGCTTTGCTAGTTCAAATAAGATAAGAACTGAGGGAGGCCAGCTGTTCCCCTGCTAGTTACCAGGGGCATATGGATTTTGTGACCCTGCTTTAAACACGGTTGCCAAGGGGCTTTGGAGAGCAGTGTTGGGAGAAGTGTCAGTCCCAAGAAAAAAAACAACCCCCTTCCTCCCACCCTCACCCTGCGTTTCCGGGGTGGAGATGCCATGAAGGGACGGGGGTTCTAGGAGTCGGGGGATGCTGGTTGCTGGGGGTGAGGTCCTTTCTGACAGAGCACCCCTTCCATCCCAGGCCAGCTTCTCCACCCCAGTCCACCCCACTCCAGCACTCAGTCTGGAGGAGGCACAGCTCTTACCAATTCGAACTCTCCATGAGCAGGAGCTTCGGAAATAGGAATAGAGGATGGGCTGAGGAGAGAGGATGAAGGCGCGTGTTAACACATGCTGGGTGGGCTCCAGCTCGGGAGGAGTCAACCATTTCTTCCTATCCTGCCAGGCCTCCTCTCTCAGGCCTGCATCTGGGCAACTCAGGTCAAGACTCCGAGCTCTCTGAGAGGCTCGTGAGGTCCCTTGGCTCCAAAATTGTGCTGGTTTGAGCTCCTGAGGTCCAAGAGGCCCCCAAGGGGCAGCCAGTCTGCGAGTGCCTTCCTTACCTTGCCAGACTCTGTCATGGTATCGTGGTGACCCTCAGCCTCCCAGGGAATGTCCCCTCTGGCAGAGCTTCTGAGCAGGGAAAGGAAACCTAAAGGGGTGGATTTCAGGAGCCAATGGGGAAGCTGGGCTACCCAGGCATTGGGGGAACTTTGACTCTGGTCAGAAAGGGCATTTCTGGCCAGGCACAGTGGCTCACGCCTGTAATCCTAGCACTTTGGGAGCCAAGGTGGGCGGATCATTCGAGGTCAGGAGTTTGAGACCATCCTGGCCAACATGGTGAAACCCTGCTTCTACTGAAAACACAAAAAAATCAGCCAGGTATGGTAGTGGGTGCCTGTAATCTCAGCTACTCAGGAGGCTGAGGCAAGAGAATAGCTTGAACCCGGGAGGTGGAGGTCGCAGTGGGCTAACACCGAGCCACTGTACTCTAGAGCGAGACTGCATCTCAAAAAAAAAAAAAAAAGGAAAGGGCATTTTTTTCCAACTTGCTGGAAGTTTCTTACGCTCCTGCTGGGGCCAGGTTTGGTGTCCCCCTACAGAGCATGGCCTGGTTGTGATGCAGTAGTTTGAGTGGTAGAGCGGGCTGGGAGCTGGCATCTGTTCTGGACCTGGTACAGGAACCAGCTCTGCATGACCTTGGACAAACCTCGGCCTTCTTTAATCTTCGGTTCCCTCATTTGTAAAACGAAGGGTTGCCCTAAAATGATAGCAGGGATTCCTTCTAGCAATGCAGAAAGACGAGGAATTCTAACTTTTTGATGCTTTGGTGCCTGTCTCCTTCAACCCCACCTCCCAGCAGTCCAGGTTCTCAGCTGACCCCATAAAAACAGCTGGCAGATATGCTCACTCACCCCAAAGGTGAGGTCAAAAGCTGGCAGCCCACTGGGGCCCTATCTGGCCCTCAGAATTTCTGTTTGCTCAACACAGTAGTTTAAAATGTTTCAGGTAGTTGCCAATGTTTAAAAATCAGGACATTTCGTTCTAGTGTGGTGGGTCATGCCTGTAATGCCAGCACTTTGGGAGGCTGAGGCCAGCAGATTACCTGAGGTCAGGAGTCCGAGACCAGCCTGGCCACCATGGCGAAACTCATCTCTACTGAAAATACAGAAATTAGCCAGGTGTAGTGGTGTGCATCTGTAATCACAGCTACTCGGGAGGCTGAGGTATGAGAATTGCTTGAACCCAGGAGGCGGAGGATACAGTGAGCCAAGATAGTGCCACTGCCCTCCAGCCTAGGGGACAGAGCAAGACTCCATCTCAAAATAAATAAAGTAAAATAAAAAATAAAAATCATGATATTTTATATACAACACCTGTTTTTTTCTTTAAAAAATCTGGAGACAGTAGATTTGGGCTCCTAAATACCAACAATTGATGGGAACAGACTGATGGCCCCCATCAACCAGGGTATGCCCTCTAAGGTCTGCCATGGCCTGTATCTGGCCCACTTTCCTCATTTTTGTTACCTTTGGGCCCTTGGGGGCAGCTGGGTGTGTGATCTCTACTCCAAAGTTTAAGGGGCTCAAAGTTAATTTCTCTGCTACTTCTTGGGGAGCCAGCATTTCAAAGTGGAACCCAGGAAAGACTCGCCAGTGATTAGCACTCATGAATCTTCCCACCAACACGTGTATCCCTATGGATGGGGGAGAACTTGACAGAACTTCTCAGATACCCTGTTTACTATCCCTCTGACTATAGACATTTCACCAAAGCTCCCTCTCCCCTCTGCCACCCCCAGAATATTAAGCTGCTTCCTGAACCTGCTTTCACCATCCCTGTACTACCAACTCAGTCTGCTAGATGGCAAGGGTACAAGTGGGAACCTAGGCCCTTCCAAGGTGGTTCCCAAGCCCAGGAGTCCCAGCCTGTCCTGAAGGTACCTTTTGTGGGGAAAGTAAAGATGGTCCTGGCACAGAAAGCAGGCGATGGGCAGAAAGTGCCTTTCGAAGAGGAGGAATTGGGTGGCCACAACTGGATCTTTCTTATTTGGAGATGCAGTCCCCTTTCCTTACTTAGCCAGGCTACAGGGGCCCTGGGGCCAAGGGACAGGGACTGCTGGTGACCACTAGAGAGTGGCAGATATTAATTGGCTTAGAATCCCTGAAGAAATGCCTTACCTAATGGTTAAATGCCTTTGGATTACACCTTTGGATCTGTACTACGAATGACCAAAAGCATGGTAAACGCTGCTCCCCTCCATCACGACCCACAAGCAGGAAACCTGAAATCTCTTAAGCATTTTCTGCTTTCTCTTACCAGTGATAACTATGCAAACCATCCCCCGTTCCTTTCTGCACTTGTAGAACTAAATTTTAAGCCCAAGTATCCATCTCATCAGCACTCCTGGAAGACTTCTGTTTCCAATTCAAATATGCATTCTGATTACTTTAGCAGATTTTATTTTTAAACCATGTCTTACACATGATTTGAGAAAAAGACTCCTAAAATCCCATTTGGAAGAGGGAGGACTATACATTATTAACGTGACACAAAGTCCCATCTAACGTGCCACCTTCCTTAGTGCCATAAAAGTGGTTCTCAAACTTTACGGCGCGTTAAGACCCATCAGGACCGCTTACAAAAACATGCAGATTCTCGGGCCCGTTCCACCAGAGATGAAGAGTGGCTTTGGAGCGGCCCCCGGGAAGAACATGTGAAAGCCGTGAAGCTCCCCAGGTGATTGTCATGACTGCCTCTCCTCGCTCGGGGACTTTTTTTTTTTTTTTTGAGACGGAGTCTCGCTCTGTTGCCCAGGCTGGAGTGCAGTGGCCGATCTTGGCTCATTGTAAGCTCCGCCTCCCGGGTTCACGCCATTCTCCTGCATCAGCCTCCCGAGTAGCTGGTACTACAGCCGCCCGCCACCATGCCCGGCTAATTTTTGTATTTTTAGTAGAGACGGGGGTTTCACCGTGTTAGCCAGGGTGGTCTCGATCTCCTGGCCTTGTGATCCGCACGCCTCGGCCTCCCAAAGTGCTGGGATTACAGGCGTGAGCCACCGCGCCCTGCCCAGGGACTCTTACAATACAAACATTACTGGAAGGCCATCTCCTGCTAGGGCCAAGAGAGGAGCATGAAGGGCTGCGAGAAACTGGGAAGCTTGGGGCGACGTTTGGAAGCCCTAGTGGAGGGGTCTGTTAAGGGGAGCAGGGAGGGCGGGGCAGAAATGAAGCGCGACCGGACAGCGACTCCACCTGGCTACGAACTCCCCACCAGGACCGCCTCCTCCCCCAGCCCAACCCTCCGGGGAATTCGAGACCCAGCGGGCAGCGGGCAGCACGCAGGCGCAGAGCGTGCCCGGCGCAACGCACTGCCCGCCGGGAGTCTTTGTCTGCTGGGCGGGCGGAGCAGCTCACCTCTGACCCCGCCCCCCAGGGTCTCCAAGTGTCTAACCAGTTTCCCTCCACCCGGGTGCGCGGCACAGACCTTCCCCGCCTGCATCTGGCACTTCGCGCGCCCCCTCCTCTAGGCCGAGAAACTTCGCGCCTGGGACTCGCCAACAACTAAGGCCCAGTGAAACTCGACGAGTCAGGCCCGTAGCTTTCGTCCGGGTAAAGCGAGGGTCTGGATGGACTACAATGATCCTTCCGGTCGCCTCTGGCACGCCCAGCCCTCCTGCCACGCCCCGTACCCGGGGGCTGCTGGGAGTTGCAGTTCCCTGAGCCCGACCCCTCCTGCACAGTCCCCGCTCGGGCCGGCCGGCCCTCCCGGTCCCGACATGCTCTGCGCCTCCTGCCGCCTCCTAGCGGCCCGGGCCGCGACCACGCTGCCCTTCCCGCCCCGAGCCCGGGGCCCCGCACTCCGCTGCCGTGGAAGGGAGTTGCATTTCCCGGGGTACCCCGAGCTGCCTTCCTGTGACTCCCTGGCGGGGCGGCTGGTCAGAGTGTGCCTCTGGGCCAGTGGGCGACCCGGAGGAGGGGGAAGATGCCGCCGGCCACGGGCGGAGGCCTGGCAGAGTCCGAACTGCGTCCCCGGAGGGGCCGCTGTGGGCCCCAGGCTGCTAGGGCCGCAGGCCGGGACGTGGCCGCCGAGGCTGCGGCGCGAAGCCCCAAACGGCCTGCCCGGGGCTCACGGCGCTTCGAGGCGGCCGGCCGGTGGGCCCTGCTGGCCTTGGTGACGCTGCTGTCCTTCGCCACCCGTTTCCACCGCCTGGCCGAGCCGCCGCACATCTGGTGAGTGATGGGAGGGACTCGGTGGCCACCATGGCAACCGCGAGGAGACGCCGCCCTCTGATTGGCCCGAGGGTACGGAGGAGGCGGGATCTACAGGAGGAGGGGCGGGGCCGTGGTGGAGGGGAACTTGAGGTACCGGGTGGGTTGGCCTCTGGCGAGGTGCATTCTCTGGGAGGGGGATCGTTTTGCTCTGGTAGTGGGGCAATGAGATTGTTAGGATCTGAGGAAGCAGCCCTCATGTCTTCCGCGTTATGTTACAGTGCATCACCTGGCTTGCAAATTGTGGCTTTTAAAGGTGCTTTCAACTTTCCAAAGAGAATTGCAAATTCTTGGGTACAGAATTTTCTAAGGCCTGAGTTCCGATATCTGCAGGATTTTCAGGCATCAACAGAGGGGAAAATACCTAACTGTGTACCTTTATCTTATAGGGCAAGGACAGTTTGGGTGTTCAGGTATGGTGACAAAAGGATTTTAAGAGGCAGAACTCTTCCTGTGAGAAGAGATTTATTTTCTTAAAGGTTTTAGCTTGTACTATCCAGATACTGGGTGTCAGAAATGGAACTCTTTTTTTTTTTTTTTTTTTTTTTTTTTTTTTTTTTTTTTTGAGACGGAGTCTCGCTCTGTCGCCCAGGCTGGAGTACAGTGGCGCGATCTCAGCTCACTGCAAGCTCTGCCTCCCGAGTTCATGCCATTCTCCTGCCTCAGCCTCCAGAGTAGCTGGGTCTACAGGCGCCCACCACCACGCCCGGCTAATTTTTTCTGTATTTTTAGTAGAGACGGGTTTCACCGTGTTAGCCAGGATGGTCTTGATCTCCTCGTGATCTGCCCGCCTTGGCCTCCCAAAGTGCTGAGATTACAGGCGTGAGCCACCGCGCCTGGCCCAGAAATGGAGCTCTTTAAGCAAAAAGTAGGCAAGAAAACAGACTGTCAGGGTTGCTTTATTTAGAAATTAATAAATTAGCCTGTTATTGTGTCGTGACTGCTGGCAGAAGATGAGACTCCTGGGTTAGAGACAAAGGACCTTATTACGGGAAAGAGGATGCATGTTAGAAGCAGTTTCCCTTGCCATCCAAGTCCCACAGGGTGATGCTATGGGTTTAAATGGATGACTGCACAGGCAGTGGGTTGCATCCAAGTGAAGGAACGACAAGCTTGGAAAATCTGCTGTTTTATAGACGGCAGTACGCAGACCTCCTCTTTGTCCTGGAGGGAGACACTGCCTCTTCTCTCAAGGTTGCTTGCTGCAAACACAACCCTGAGAAATGGCCCAAGTGCGATGCAGTCAGGGCCTTGCATTCTTGGTATACCCAGAATGATGTGTAGAGGCACGAGCAATCTGACAGCCTCTCTCACTCCTCGATTCTGCAGTCTTGGCTTCTAGCAGATTTTCACATGAATATGCAACTCCCCTGGCTACTCTGATTAACCTGGCTGACAGAGGCAGGGACCAAATCTTTTCAGTTTGTCCCTTACAGCATTTAATTAAGGTTGTTGTCAATGGGACTCTAAGCAGCAGAATAAGGCCAGCTTACAGGATTTACCTCAACCATGCCCTCCAGAGTCCTGAATTCAGCCACATGTGAATAAGTCCTGGGGGCACCAAGGAATCTTATTTCAGACATCTGGTCTATTAACCACTGTGACCTGTGCACAGGAGTTCAGATTGATCTCTGATCTTTGTAATTACAGTAATTACAATAGCCCTCTACCCTTGTAAAAAAAAATTGTAAGAAAGTAACTACCAGGCCAGGCACTGTGGCTCACGCCTATAATCCTGGCACTTTGGGAGGCCGAGGTGGGTGGATCACCTGAGGTCAGGAGTTCAAGACCAACCTGGCCAACATGGTGAAACCCCGTTTCAACTGAAAATACAAAACTTAGCTGGGCATGATGGCGGGTGCCTGTAATCCCAGCTACTCAGGAGGCTGAGGTGGGAGAATCACTTGAATCCGGGAGGCAGAAGTTGCAGTGAGCAACTTTGCATTCCAGCCTGGGCAACAAAGTGAGACTCCGTCTCAAAAAAAAAAAAAAAAGTAACTACCATGATTAATGGAAAGATATTTTGTGACCCATTCTTCCTTACACTAACATATTGCTTGAAGGAGTGCAGGCCACTCCAGGATTTTTGTTAGATTTTTATTTGGATCACCATCAAATTCGATTACCATTACAGTGGTTTAAACCACATGGGCAGTGTCACTGAATAGTTGCAGCCTCAATCACTAGACAAGGCATAACCTAAGGAAGGCCCCTAGGATCTCAGGAGAAGCATGTGATTTGTATCAGCCGGTTTGATAGAAGGTTGTGCTGATCTGTGTGTTTGCACACCTGTGAGGGAGGTCTGTGTTTGGGAGTTGGTGTTGATGTCATCAGGCACGTGGGAATAGTTCAAGACTGGCCATGTCCATGTGAGTTTTTGTTTTCTCTTTTTATTTTCTTTTTTCTTTTCTATACTGACCTACTAGATAAAGTTTTTTGTTTTCATAGTGAGATGACAAACTCAGCCACAGGTCGGATTGCCAGCCACAGTTGCTGCTTGACTTAGGTGGACCATATGAATGTTTGCCAGGCTTTGGTGCCTGGCAAACAAAGAGAACATTGTTTCCCTTCTCTTTACATCTCCAGGGGCCTAAGGTGTTCCTTCCCCAGATGCCAGGATTGTTTCTTTCCTTCCATTGCTACATAATTAGTGTGTCCTACCCTAGTACCTATAACTTCACCTTTTCTCCATTTATTCAATATCCAGACCTTTTAATACCCAAGGGCATTGTTAGAAAATTGACAGAGGCCCATTATGTCTTCTACCTTGACACATGTGGGCCACTGTAGGGGGACTTTAAAACCACTGTACCCAACCAAATGATCATTAAGTTTATGCTGTAGCACCAGGCCATTCCAACAAGGCAATCTAGTGACTGAACTAGAATTAAGTCCGAATTACATAGATAGCCTCCTCCTCCCAGCTGATCTGGGCTTTCTGTAAGGCAAAAGATGAACCATGGCCAGAAATGGTCAGGGAAGAATCTTAAATTTTCAAAATAGGTTTTTATAACCCTCCACCCCTTTTTCCTGATCATTACCCAGTTGGTAGGCAAAAGGAGATGAACCCTTTCTGAGAATGGCTGCCTTAGGTGACCAAACTGCTTCACTAAGGTGTGCAGACCGGGAGGAGGTTAAAAACAGAGTCAAAAATCTTTTTGAGTTGATCTTTGAGGGAACTATTCAGTACTTGACAATATCATGCCTGTGGATGGTAGGGAATGTGGGAGGTCCATCGAAATACCTTGGCTATTGACTGTTGACACCGTTGGGTGGCCGTTGTGACAAAAAGGTATGCCACTGTCAGACTGTAGATGGTTTGGAAAGCAGAAAACCTGGCAGAGCTTAGTTCCAAGGGCCACAGTGGTATCCACAGCGTCAGATGATGGAACTGGAAAAGCAACATCAGCCCTGCAACCTGAAAAAGTATCAGCAGTAGCAAGGTACTGATGAGAGCCTGGGAGAAGGGAACAAAGTCCTAATGTCAGTCTCCCAGGAGCAGGTGGGGTCAGTGCCCCTTGCAACGTGGTTTCCTTTACTGCAAGACAAGCAGGCCAGCTTTTGGCAGGAGTCACAAGTCTGGCACGCAGTAGTGGCTTCTGCCTCAGAAACATGTAGTCCCTTACATTGTGCCTGGTCCACGATGGTAGATGTTTCCATACCTGTTGCATGAATCCAGGTGGCTATGGCCGCAGTCTTGGGTGGTGCAGGCTGGATCAGCAATTTGATCCCAGTCAGTCTTATGAGAGTACCTGCCCTTAGTGTGGGCACCTACATGAGTGATCCAGTTTGTCCTCATGGCAGGCAGCCATGATGTGTTCACAGTTCTCACTTTCATCTCTCAGTATTTAGTCTTCCAAGTGGCATACCAAGTGCTTCAATCCTTACTGCCGTCAGCCATCCAGAGTTGTCACTGGGGCTAAGTGCCTGGTGGGTAACATCAGTTTTTAACTCAGCCTAATCATTGGTGAGCCAGGCCTAAGCATTTAGAGGAACCCTTGTGAATCAGGGCCCTACTGAACCAGCAGCTTGGCTTCAGGCAGTGGAGAAGGTTGTTTCTCCCAAAGTGGGAGCTGACACTTCTTCACGGAAAACCAAGATGCCTCTAGGGCCAGCCTGGCTATACTCTTTTTTTTTTTTCCCCAAAGAGATGAGGTCTGACTTTGTTGCCCAGGCTAGAGTGGAGTGGTACAATCATAGCTCACTGCAGCCTCAAACTCCTGGGCTCCTCCTGCCTCAGCCTCCTGAGTAGCTGGCACTACAGGCACGTGCCACCACATCCAGCTAATTGAAACAAATTTTTTAAGAGATAAGTTCTCACTATGCTGCTAAGGCTGGTCTTGAACTCCTGGCCTCAAGCCATCCTCCTGCCTCAGCCTCCTGAATAGATGGGATTACCAGCTCTATTCTTGAATGTACTATTTCCATGGGATCAGTGAGGCTTGTAAACCCTTCCCTTGTTATCAGTAGATTCCCACTGACCCACTCCAAAGTGGGAATACTAGGCCAGGGAGTCCTGAGGCCTCTATGGGTCTGGCAATCAATTTCAAAGCGTTGAGTAGTTAACTAAGAGGTTAATAGCTGTCCTTTTAGAAAGGGTGTGCTTGGTACCTATGTCCAGCAGGTGGCACTGTGATTCTGGTGCATGGCTCTCAGTACGCCAACAGCCAGGAAGTTTTATTTATTTATTTATTTATTTATTTATTTATTTATTTATTTATTTATTTATTTGAGACAGAGGAGTCTCAGTCGCCCAGACTGGAGTGCAGTGGCTTGATCTTGGCTCACTGCAACCTCTGCCTCCTGGGTTCAAGCAATTCTCTGCCTTAGCCTCTCGAGTAGCTGGGATTACAGGCGCCCGCTGTCACGCCTGGCTAACTTTTTGTATTTTTAGTAGAGACAGGGTTTCACTATGTTGGCCAGGCTGGTCTCAAACTCCTGACCTCAGGTGATCTGCCTGCCTTGGCCTCCCAAAGTGTTGAGATTACAGGTGTGAGCCACCGTGCCCAGCTGCCATGAAGTTTTTAAACCTGTGATTTATTTCCTTTCCCTTCCAGGGATGTGGATTTTTATCTTCTGGACCACCAGGAGAGGACAGGATCACCTGTCTACACACAGCAGCCCTTGCACAGGATAATCCTCTTTGACACTTATGGGATCAGTATCAGCTATACATTTAACACTGGAAGCCACAGGAATAGTACACTGAAGAGGCCCAAAGAGCTCTGCCTGGAATGTCACTTTAACTTCCCTTCCCTACAGGGAGCATGGCTCAAACATTACCAGTTTAATCTGGACACTTTTTCCCCTTGAACTAATGTGTCTAGAAGGCCTGCATCAGGGGCTATGGTGACAGCAAGCCAGAGATTTTGCCATTTCCCAGTTGGAGAGTGTGGCGGTGCTGGATGCAGGAAGTGAGGAGAAACTTTTTCTCCTCCTTTAGCTGTTCGCTAGGCTCAGCAGCATGACCTCCCCAGTGTTGCTCCCCCAGGGTTAGGACTAAAGCGCTCCCTTTAGTCCTTGTGCACACTGCTACAGCTCTCCCTGCAGTTCTGAGTGTCTGCAGTAACCTCTGTGCCTAGCACATCCTCCCCGCCGTGAGACACGGTAGAGTGGAGATGTGGGACCTCATATCCAGCAGAGCCCTGAGTTTGCCCCTCTCCTCCCTGGGGCTCTCCAGCATTGGGGCTCTCCAGCATACTAGGATGGGTGTGTATGACCTTCAGTCCTCTTTAATCATCTCAGTCTTTTTTTTTTTGAGACGGAGTCTCGCTCTGTCGCCCAGGGTGGAGTGCAGTGGTGCAATCTCGGCTCACTGCAAGCTCCGCCTCCTGGGTTCACGCTATTCTCCTGCCTCAGCCTCCCGAGTAGCTGGGACTACAGGCGCCCGCTACCACGTCCGGCTAATTTTTTGTATTTTTTTAGTAAAGACGGGGTTTCACCATGTTAGCCAGATGATCTCGATCTCCTGACCTCGTGATCCACCCGCCTCGGCCTCCCAAAGTGGTAGGATTACAGGCGTGAGCCACCGCGCCCGGCCCATCTCAGCCTTCAAAGCAGCTGCGGTTGTGGTAGAGTGGGAGGGATCGTGGGACATAAACTGAGAGAGTGGCTCTGAGCCAGAAAGCAAGGCATATTTGTATTTACTTGTGGCTTGAGTACACAGCTCCCCCAAGGATCTTTCAGTGTTTTCATTTTACTCAAAGTTCTGTCTTATATAGCAGGGTCCTATTGCCGCACCATTTGTTGAAGCGTTGGAGACTTGTTGATTGAGCAGCTGCATCCATATTGCCTTTTGGCAGGGGCTGCTGAGCATGCTGCCATTGTCATGATCACTCCTCTTCCTCCTTTTGCCCAGACCACAGGGCAATAACCAGGGTGACATTCAATGGCTTGTTTCAATCCTACCTCTTTCCATCAGTCTCTGTAATAGCGGGACAGTGGGGGACTCTTACTACCCCGTTGCCGGCCCATGGAGGCCCTCATTCTTTCTCTTACAGAAGACTATGTCTCTCCTCCTCCTATGCTTGTCTCCACATTGTCAGGGGCTCGGGATTTTATCTTAGCTACTTACAAGCTAATAAGTTAGCCTGTCACTGTTGTTTGCATGCCGAAAGAAGACAAAGTCTTGGGTCAGAGACAAAGGACTTTATTTCTCATGGCACAGCAAGTGGGATGTGCATCAGCATGTTGGCATCAGTTTCCTTTGCCCTTAAGTCCCACGTGGTGCTGAGGGACTGGATAAATGCTTGCACATGCAGAAGGTTGCATCACAGCTGAGTAATATTAAGCTTGGGAAATCTGCTGTTTTATGGCAAGCAATAAACAAGACAGCCCTCTGTCTCAGAGAGAGATACTAACTCTTCCCTCAAGGTTGTTTACTGCAAACATAACCTTAGAAATGACCTCGGGAAAGATGGATCGGGACATTGCATTCTTGGCATACCCTGAAAGGCCTGGAGGAGCACAAGAGAGCCATGGAGGACTGTCTCTGCTAACACAAGCAATAAAAGCCAGGAGGAAATATGAATGTTACAACTGATTTTACTTGGGAGACTTTTGAAGTAAAAATCTGGAGCCCAGGCCGGGTGCGGTGGTTCACACCTGTAATCCCAGCACTTTGGGGGGCTGAGGCAGGTGGATCACCTGAGGTTTGGAGTTCGAGACCAGCCTGGCCAACATGGTGAAACCCCGTCTCTACTAAAAATACAAAAATTAACCACGGGCATGGTGGTGGGCACCTGTAGTCCTAGCTACTTGGAAGACTGAGGCAGGAGAATCGCTTGAACCCGGGAGGTGAAAGGTGCAGTGAGCCAAGATTGCGTCACTATACTCCAGCCTGGGCAACAAGAGTGAAACTCTGTCTCAAAAAACAAACAAAACAGCAACACAAAACTGGAATCCTTTTGTTAGTATGTTCCCAAACAGATTTAAAAACTAGGACAGTTTAAATGGAGTCCAGCAGGGATGGTACTTTATAGTCTATAGAATTATTTCACATGTGTTACCTGAGTTGAGCCCTAAGGCCTCCCTGGGAGGTGGGCAGGGCAGATAATATTATTGTCTTTGTTTTGTAGATGAGATAAGAGGAGTAGAGAGAGATGAGTGATTTTGCCAGGTTGTGCCATTAGTTAGCAGTGGAGCTGGGACTGGATCTCTCTTTCTGCAAATCAATTTTGTTATGCTGCTTTGAAGTTATTTCTCTCTTTGACCTTACCATGCCAGTGTCTTTATCGCGTGTCAAGCAATGTGTTTAGCAGGTGCTGAAATAGACCTATTCTTTTGCCTATCTTGGACCCACCGAGTAAGATATAGAAAGAACCCTAGATTTTTAGGTAAAGCATGTTTTCCCCTTATGTAGTAGGTCACTAATGACTGCTCATGACCTGGGGAATTGATGACTACTAGAAAGTAACTCTTCTTTTGAGCTGCAGGGAGAAAATAACAAATAGAAAAGGCCAGGCTCTGCTGGATGACTTGGCTGCCTTCCCAAAGCCCTCATGTATGGTGTAGAAAGGTGTATGTGCTTGTATAAAAGAGGACTTTGCATTGTGTTTGAAAGCCTGTTTATTCAAATCGCTTATTTACTTGCAAAATAACTTAAGCAGTGAGGATAGGTTTTAGATGTGGTCTTAATTTAGTAAGAAAACCTTCAACTTTTATATACTAATTAGTATAAGATCAGCCAGATCACAGTTAGCAGCTTACTTGTCACAGGGTCGCTGAGCAAAGTGAGACTCCTGTGACAATCATGGTTTAGTCTCAACCCTGACCAATAGCCCGACAATGTCGTAATGGACCTTGTAATAGCAAATGTTGTCTCAGAAGTCAACAGACTTTCAGTCTTTATTTTGTTGAGATGGAGTCTTGCTCTGTCGCCCAGGTTGGAGTGCAGTAGCGCCATCCCGGCTCACTGCAAGCTCCGCCTCCCCGGTTCACGCCATTCTCCTGCCTCAGCCTCCTGAGTAGCTGGGACTACAGGCACACGTCACCACTTCCGGCTCATTTTTTGTATTTTTAGTAGAGACAGGATTTCACCGCGTTAGCCAGGATGGTGTCGATCTCCTGACCTCGTGATCTGCCCGCCTCAGCCTCCCAAAGTGCTGGGATTACAGTTGTGAGCCACCGTGCCTGGCCAGAAGAAAACTCTTACTAAAAACCTTACCATATTATGAGAAAACTTCTTGTCCTTTCAAAATAAGTAGAAACTCAAGATACAGAGTAAATATATGTATATTTAACTCAATTGGTAACTGGCTGGTGAATATTTGCTCACCTTTCTCGTCTATCTAAATGAAGACGAGTGGCTAGCTTGATGTCTTTCTTCCTCAAATCACTTGTGTCAAAAGATTTTTTTTAAAAAAATCCAAACTTTTGCATTAATTGTTTGAAATGCACAGCCTTTAATTTTAACCATGCTTTATTAAGGCCATTTGGATTTTATGATAATTTTAAAATTCTTGTTTTTCTTTCTGTGTTTCCTTTAGTTGGGATGAGACTCACTTTGGAAAAATGGGAAGTTACTATATCAACCGTACGTTTTTCTTTGACGTGCACCCGCCTCTGGGAAAGGTGAGCAGTGTGGTGAACAGCAGCTCTCTGGTCCTGGAGGATCGTTCCTAAGGGCTGGAGCCACATCTTGATTTTGGATTTGGGGCTTGTAGAAAGAGTTTGGGACTTGTAGAAAGAATTTTCTGATGTTTCAGACCAGCTACTTTCATGGAAAATCTTTGGTGTTTTTTAAAGGGTCCTCTGGGCTGAGAAATGGAAAGAGGGCCCATCAGCTGAGGGAGGGATGAACAAAAGTGTGGCACAGCCATACAGTGGAATACTATTTGGCCATAAAAAGGGATGAGGTTCTGATACATGCTACAACATGGATGAACCTAGAAAACATGCTAAATGGAAGAAGCCAGACACAAAAGGTTACATACCCTGTGATTCCACTTATATGAAATATCTAGAACTGATAAATCCACAGAGACACAAAGTAGATTAGTGGTTGCCAGGATCTTGGGGAGGGAGGATTAGGCAGTGACTGCAAATGGGCGTGGGGATTCTTTATGGGGTGATGACATGTTATGGAATTAGGTAGTGGTGATGATTGCACAATCTTGTGAATATACTTAAAACCACCCATTGCACACTTTAAACTGGTGGATGTTATGTTATGTGAATTTGTCTCAATTTTAAAAAAGAAATAGGAATACACTACATGAAGCAGAAATAGCTCAGGAGGCTGATGTCCATGTGGGACTGACTTCTTTCTCCCTTCCCATGCCCAGCATACACATTGATCTGTTTCTCTCACATGTTTTGCCATTAGAAATTCCACCAATTAGAATTCCCTTTACTTTTTTTGTGTTTGTTTTGAGATAGCGTTTCAGTCGTGCCACCCAGGCTGGAGTTCAATGGCATAATCTTGGCTCACTGCAACTTCCGCTTCCTAAGTTTAAGTGATTCTCTTGCCTCAGCCTCCTGAGTATCTGGGATTACAGGCGCCCACCACCACGCCTGGCTAATTTTTGTATTTTTAGTAGAGACGGGGTTTCACCGTGTTGGCCAGGCTGGTCTTGAACTCCCAACCTCAGGAGGTCCACCCACCTTGGCCTCCCAAAGTGTTGGGATTACAGGCATGAGCCACCGTGCCTGGCCCATTTTAGTCTTTTAAAAACAAAAATCTCTGAGAAGGCTCTCAGATTAGCTCTGGAATTCACGCAAGGCTTTCTTCCTAACTGGAGACTGAGATCTTGGGCACCAAGGGGACAGGAATTTTCCTGTGAGGAACTGGGGAGGGATTTTGGAGCATATAGTACTTGGGGGATAAAGGTGGGAGCAGGAAAGCCAGGAGGAGGCAGGGATAGTAATCTTTTATCAAAGATCACAAAGATCACCTATGGTTGGGCTTAAGGAAGCATGTGAGCAGGGGCCCTACAAGGCAGGGGGTGGAGAGGGAGGTAGAACAGGTAGCCTATTTCAAAACTGGCTCTGAGCCCAAGAAAAGTGTAGAAAGTATTATGCCTCTTCCTATCTCTTTTATACCATAACAACAATAACAAGAACAATTAAAAACATTTATTCTGTTCTGGTCACCTTAGAGGCATTATCTCATGTAAGCCTCAAAACAACCTTATAAAGTAGGTATTGTTGCATCCCCATTACACAGATGGGGAACTGAAGGCAGATAAGTAGTTTGCCATAGGGAACCAAGCTAGGAAGTGTCAGAATCAAGATTCAGACTGGCGTAGAGCCTGCTCTCTTAATCGTGACACCACACTACCTCGCAAACTTGCCTTGGCTCATTCCTCAGACTACATCTGTTACTACCATAGAATTAAGCAACAGATGTGTTGAGTATTTGCATGGAGCTCGCCTGGGAACCAGACTTCTGATGAAGATTTTTCATAGGAAACCCAGCCCAGTGTTTCTGTGGGGACTGCCCATTCTTTTTTGGAGTTTTCCTGGTGCTCAACGCACTGTGGACATGTGCACAGGACTGGCTGATTTGTTTAATTTACCTAAGCCTTAGGCCAGGCGCAGTGGCTTACGCCTGTAATCCCAGCACTTTGAGAGGCTAAGGTGGGCAGATCACCTGAGGTCAGGATTTCGAGACCAGCCTGGCCAACAGGGTGAAACTCTATCCCTACTAAAAATACAAAAATTAGCTGGGCATGGTGGCACACATCTGTAGTCCCAGATGTTTGGGAGGCTGAGGCAGGAGAGCAGCTTGAGCCTGGGAGGTGGAGGTTGCAGTGAACCAAGATCACGCCGCTGCACTCAAGCCTGGGCGACTGAGCAAGACTCCATCTCAAAAAAATAAAATAAAATAAAATAAAATAATAATATACCTAAGCCTTGCCTTCCTCACATCTGCTTGCCCGTGTGAAGGGAGAAGTGTGAGGGTTCTCAGGCTGCCCTCAGGGAGTGTGGCCCATCTGCACCCCAATTTATCTCGTGTTCTGTCTGGTTGAAAGAGTGATGAGCAGACTGGAAACCTGTGAGAGGGTACAGTAGCTTCTGCAGGTTCTGAGGCCAAGCCAGTCAAGGAATCAAAACCCCTCCAAGTGGCAAGCAGGAATTTTTTTCCTTCGCTACTGAGGCCGAGATCCGCTGCTTCACATTGGCCCCCAGCCCTGGGCATCTGGCAGCTCCAGTCCTACAGGAACTTAAAACATAAAAAAGCCTGCACATAGCAGAAAATGCAGTCAGCACAGAAGGAAGTACGAGGTCAGAAGCCTCCTTCAGAAGGTGTCAGAAGCCACCACATTTCTAGTCCACAGAGGTAACCACAGTCATCTTTGTCAATAGTTTCTTATGTTTCTCTAACAATTTTTTATGCAAATAAAAGCGTGTATGTTTTTATATATGTACATATGAACAACACATATATACACACAATTCTTTTTAAAAACTCAAATGGGATAAGACTATAATTGTTCAGCAACTTGTGTTTGAAACATGATATATCTTCTTTCCACATTAGCATATGAAGATGTGCTTCATTCTTTTTAATGGCCGTGTGTCATTCTGTTATGTAGATGTGCCATAAGTATTTATGCCTCTTCAGTTAGTGGGCGGCATGTAGGTTATTTCCAGTTTTTAGCCATTACAAAAGATATTGCAGTGAACATCCTTGTACATATATCATTGTATAGTTGTGAAGGTATATATGAAAAATTCCCAGCAGCCAAGCTAAAAAATCAAAGAATGTACACATTTAAAATTGAGTTAGATATTGCTAAGTTTTCCCGCAAAGATGTTGTAATCATATATATTCCCACCAACAGTGTATGACAGTGCTTTCTTCCCCACATCATTGCCAGCACTGGTATGATCATACTTTAAAAACTTTGTTGGCCGGGTGCGGTGGCTCATGCATGTAATCCCAACATGGGATTTGGGAGGCCGAGGCGGGTGGATCATCTGAGGTCAGGAGTTTTTGAGACCAGCCTAGCCAACATGGTAAAACCCCGTCTCTACTAAAAATACAAAAATTAGCCGGGCATAGTGGCAGGTGCCTGTAATCCCAGCTACTTGGGAGACTGAGGCAGGAGAATCGCTTGAACCCGGGAGGCAGAGGTTGTGGTGAGCCGAGATCGCGCCACTGTACTCCAGCCTGGGTGACAAGAGCGAGACTTTGTTTCAAAAAAAAACCTTTGCCAATTGGAGAGTAAAAAATGACATGTCACTGTTTTTATTTGCATGGCTGTATGAGTTAGGTTGAACATTTTTTCATATGTTTATTAGCCATTTGTATTTTGTTTTCTATGAATTTGCCATATTTTCTAGTAAGTTATTCATTTTTTTTCTGTTGATTTGAAAGAGTTGTTTAGTTAAGAAATTAACTTGGGGCCAGGCACCTTGGCTTACGCCTGTAATCTCAGCACTTTGGGAGGCTGAGGTGGGTGGATGATGAGGTCAGGAGTTCAAGACCAGCCTGGCCCACATGGTGAAACACCGTCTCTACTAAAAATACAAAAATTAGCCGGGCGTGTTGGTGGGTGCCTCTAATCCCAGCTACTCGGGAGGCTGAGGCAGGAGAATCGCTTGAACCTGGGAGATGGAGGTTGCAGTGAGCCAAGATTGTGCCATTGCACTCCAGCCTGGACAACAAGAACGAAACTTCTATAAAAAATAAAAAAACAGCTGGGCGCGGTGGCTCATGCCTGTAAGCCCAGCACTTTGGGAGGCTGAGGTGGGTGGATCACCTGAGGTCAGGAGTTCAAGACTAGCCTGATCAACATGGTGGAACCACGTCTCTACTAAAAATACAAACAAAAAATTAGCTGGGCATGGTGGCAAGTGCCTGTAATCCCAGCTACTCTGGAGGCTGAGGCAGGAGAATTGCTTGAACCAGGGAGGGAGAGGTTGCGGTGAGCTGAGATCGTGCCATTGCACTCCAGCCTGGGGGACAGAGCGAGACTCCATCTCAAAAAAAAAAAAAAGAAAAAAAAGAAGAAATTAACTTGGAGCTACTTTGAACCGTAAGGGAACTGAGAGAGAACTGAATTTTGAGTGTCTGCTAAGTGGTTGGTGTAGTGTTAGGTGTTTACTTAATGGCATCACCTCTAATCCTCACGCCCCCGGGAGGAAGTTTTTATTACCTATAGCTCAGAGATATTAAGTATTGTCCGTGACCAAAGAGCTAGAATATAGGGCACTGAGGTCCAAACCATCTGTGCATTTCTTCACCCCAGACCAGCCAAGCAGTCTGGAAATGTATGGTCAACACCAGGCAAGCTTGTCCTGCGAGATCCCAGGTGAGAAGAGGGATCCATTTGTTGCCACTTGGCAGCCTTAGTTCATCTAGGTATTTGGATGACCCTGTCCGGACCCTGGGGTCCCCGCCTTCTTAGCATATGAAGATGTGCTTCATTCTTTTTAATGGCCGTGTGTCATTCTGTTATATAGATGTGCCATAAGTATTTATGCCTCTTCAGTTAGTGG